TGAAAGTACAAGATAGTTCTAGAAACTAGAGGGCGCCACACCAGTCACGTGACCTCGATGACGCAACAATATTGTAGGTATAAAAACACAAATAAGGTTTTCACTTTTAAGAAAGATTTACTCACTAATGTTACTATGACTAACATACAAATAAACTTGCTGGTACAATCTCACGGCTAATCGATCGAGTAACTAAATATATGCTACAACTAAGATTAACTTACTGCAAGATTACTAACATTTGTAGCTCGTATTTATAACTACTCCTTGTTTCAAGTATTTGGCTAAGACTCTCGATCCTCACGTCATCATTATAACCAACAGCTCCCTCTAGTAAACAAACATATTACAACCATAGAGGTTATAACAGTACGAAACACGAACTTTTGAAACGAAGATATGGCTAACGTAGATGAAAATCTAACTGACAAAGAAGAAGAGATCAAACATTATAAACATGGTGTATTGCCGCCTCAGCATTCTGGAGGACCACTGGGCTTAGGTAAATGTTAAAAAACGGCTGTTCCATATTTAAATGATTTATCGTCTTCCTCAGGTTCCTATATCATATAGGCTAATTTAGGCCCTTAGCGTTAACTGAAGGTAATCTTATTCTTATCATTTTAAACTTGAAATTTAAGGCTTAAGTACGTAATAATCTTTCAACTTAGTAATAGTATATAACTTACAACTACTGAAGTAGTACAAAAACAAGTTGAAGTGTTAGGTGAGTAGTATTAGTATTATTACTAACACTAGTAAAACTGACTCAGTAACAGATAGGTAAAGTAGGACTATAAACCGAGTTACTTAGAATTTTAATTTAATTTTAAATCAGATTCAGAGCAATGATTCTGACGTCATTAACCAATGTTTGTGCATGAAAAAATTTCTGATTAAGCAATGATTATGTAGAAAAATAATAATTATACAACCTGCAACTCTTACCAAAGTAAGAATAGTTTTTTAAAAAATTATATGTTTGTTATTCTTGGAACTAATTAATGAAATATCACCGTCAAAATTATTTAATATATTTTTATGAAATGACTTTTAAACTTTAGATAGGATGAATACACATGCTACTTTGGCTGGGATGTTCCTGGTCTTTGGAATGTTGTTCCAGAATCCAGGAATATCCTTCGGGGATGTCTATGTGATCTAGTTTACTTTTTTTTTTTTTTTAGTTATTTGTAACTTTTATTCAATACTTCAAGCACTTGACAATTATCAATCAGCTCGAAATGACTTGACATCTGTTGTTGTTTCCTTGGAAGTTGGCTATAAGAGGGGCTGCAGCAGGTGATGTGATGACACTGTTACGTACATCAATGAGCAAGTGATTTTGCACCTGACAAACGGAGACAACTGAATGGAAATGGAAGGTGCTGTTCACAAATGATGTATGATTTTGAAGTCGTGAAACATCTATTCAAAGTAACTGAAAAGGGAACATAAGTGACAGTTGCTAAGAACTTTACATCAAATTCCTGACCATAAAGAAGTTACTGAAAGAATTCCATTGTTAGAGAAGTATCTGTAGCATTAGTAACTTAATAAATAATATTAGTCACATAATTAATTGTTTATAATATTTCATAAAAAAAGGGGGTATTCCACTGTAAGATCCATAAATCTGAGTGTATGTCCCAGTTTTATAATTTGAAAATCTGGTCACCCTAACTTAAGAAGTCTTGACTAGCTATTAATCAGACTATCTGGCCAGCAGGAATTACTTTACAAGCAATAAGAACAACTATAACAAAAGTTGTAAATCTTGTAACACGTATCTTGACTACACTTAATTTGACTTTGATTATATAGTCATGCAACTTGAGCAGAATAATGCAATGATTATGTAATTGCATTAAACTTTGGGTCCTCTAATATTTCCAGTTTATAGTCACACTTCTTTGTAAGCCTAGAACATTTCTAATCTACCTGTACAAGAAGTATTCCAAAGTCCTGCGTCTTTGTCGTACTGTTCACTGTGTTAGTTTTTCTTGATTCTGTATTTATGTATATTCTCTCAATATTTAACAAAATTCACTGATGTTAATATATGTTTTAAATATCTTTGTATGTACGAGAAGGGTTCAGGCATGTTTATGCAAGAAAAAGTATTATTTTATTTTGAAATTAAATATACTTAAACTACCATTACAACATGTACAAGTTTAATTATTATGAATATAAACAATCAAAGTGATCAATATACTAATCTCATAGTGGTTCATAATAGGGATTGCACAAAACGCTAATATAAGGTTTGAGCAAAAAAAGCACCTTGAACAGTAAAGATTAAATTCAAACAACACTTTAAAATCTTTACTATTGACTGATAAGGCTGTATACATATAAAAAGTATAAGTGTTAGACTTACATTCTGCGAGGATTTTTGAGTGTTAGACTTACATTCTATGAGGATTTTGTACAATTCCTTGTGGTCCCTATTATGAACCACTTTCTTGGTTCATGATTCTAAGAATTGAATAAATTCATTACAAACATATAAATGAAGTATTATCAGTTTACTGGCATGAAAATAACTTACCATTAAAGTTTATCATAAACCTACTTTCAGAGGACTGTATTCACTTAATGAAAAATGTGATTAAAACCCTGTTATACGGAACTTTTAAGATAACAGCAAATCAGAAGTGAGAAAATTAAACATGAGCATAAAATAAATTGTTTTCCACTGTTGTTCCTAAATAGAATAATCCTAATAATAACTGAAAAAATAGATATCCTCTATCTATCTCCCACAATTTGCTGTGCAAGAGGCCTTATATTCAATACCAGAACAGTCAACTTCTGAGTTGGACCTGATAATGAGAGACAAAAGATTCCTTGAAATGTTACTTATACATGCATTAAAATACTTTAAAAGTTATGTTTTAAATGCTGAAAGCTGGCAAAACATTAGAAACTAATAGGCCTAACATTTGTAATAAAAATCTTAGAAACTGTAGATGTTTCTTTCCAAATTCCTCTTAATCTGTCCATTTCGGATTCAAAATCAGAGGCTTGTAAAAGCTATTACTTTAATCATACTGTACATAAGCATTATTTTAAGGATGATTAAGAATAAAGTTATTAAAATTATCAATCAAACAGCTCTAACTGCATGGTCAGATAAAATGTGTCCTTAAAAATAAAGTCTAGGTTAAAAGGACTCTTCAAATTTAAAGACAAACAGCTCTAACTGCATTGTCAGATAAAATGTGTCCTTAAAAATAAAGTCTAGGTTAAAAGGACTCTTCAAATTTAAAGACAAACAGCTCTAACTGCATTGTCAGATAAAATGTGTCCTTAAAAATAAAGTCTAGGTTAAAAGGACTCTTCAAATTCAAAGACAAACAAGTCAAACAGCTCTAACTGCATGGTCAGATAAAATGTGTCCTTAAAAATAAAGTCTAGGTTAAAAGGACTCTTCAAATTCAAAGACAAACAAGTCAAACAGCTCTAACTGCATGGTCAGATAAAATGTGTCCTTAAAAATAAAGTCTAGGTTAAAAGGACTCTTCAAAGACAAACAAGTCAAACAGCTCTAACTGCATGGTCAGATAAAATGTGTCCTTAAAAATAAAGTCTAGGTTAAAAGGACTCTTCAAATTCAAAGACAAACAACATTCATTGAATACTTCTCTGTTGATATCTGAGTTCACATATCCGAGGTGCAACCAGGGATATATTGGATCCACCATTAGAAGGTTCTGTAGTTGAATAGAATATCACTGTAATGCTAACACTAGTAATATTACCAACCACAGTCTAAACGAAGGTGATATTGTGCCCACCTTCTGTTTTTTCATGTCATTCTCAATTCCCGAGAAGAATTACATCTTAGAATGTTAAAATCTATTGCCCTTAAGCTAAGAGAACCAGCTATTACCCAGAAGATGACTGCACTGCCATCTACATCTTCAAGTGAGAAAACATAAAGAAAAGAACAGAACGTGACCTTTGACCATTCAAGGACTTGAGTTTAAACTCATTAGGAAACTTGATTCATTTATTGCTATCAATATCATTATTGTAAATGTGATGAAACAAAGGTCTGAGCAAAGGTGACTCCTGGGCTACTTCACTAGTAACAAGGGTCCCTCATATTTTGTAAAATTATAACGAAGCAGTAGAGCAAGTAACAGTTCTCACCAGATGAGAAGGGTATTTACCATATTGCTATAAAAATCTCTCTCTAACAAGGGAATTTTTTTTTTTTGAGTAACTTCTTTTCGGCCAGGAGTTTGAGATAAAATTCTGAGCAGCTGTCATTTGTATTCAATTTTGAGTTATTTCAAATGTTTCATGACTTAAAAAATTTAATATTGGCTATGAAAACCATCTGCCATATACATTCAACTGTCTCTCTTTGTTTTAATACATGCAAGACCACTTTCTCAGTGATATATGTAACAGCCTTCCATATACTCAACTTCAGAGGAAGCAGCAAGTGGTATGCTGTGTTATTCTAGGTTGAGTCATAATTTATTTACTCAGTTAAAAAACACGGTTTCAAATATCTGAATAAAAGTCTAAGCACATTACAGATTACTGACAGAAATGAAAACCAGGACCCAATAGGATCTGTTGGGACATCTGGTCACCTTAACTTCAGTCCAGTTAACTAGATTTATTCCAACATAATTTTCGTAGCTAAACTTTTGTGTGATATGTAAATGTTTCTTTAAAATCTAGTGTTACCAAATCCACATGTTTTTCATTATTCAGATAACACGCAGGATCCTTAAAAAAAAGTAAGATGAGATCTCCTTTCAATAAACCTGTGCTGACTTTTTTTTTGTGATGTATTTCACCAAATGATTTTTGTAAAGCTTTTTTTACGGGACTCTAGAGAATTTAGCTCGCTACAGAAGTAAGACTTAACTAGCTTATATTTTTCAGGGCATCTCTAGTGAAAAATGGGAGTATCATGATATATTGGTAGTAAAAATAAATCAATAATATTGTGTTATTAATCCTTATCATAATTGTAATGTGTAAATACATTAAATTTGTAATAATTACACTTTACTTAATCTAATTAACACCATATAATAGTTGTTGTTCATGCGGTTTGGTGACATGAATAGCGAATCGGCCGTTACTATGTCTGATGTCTCCCAACCAGCCCGAAGAGCCTTAGTGTTGGGTGATAGGCAGATATAGTGTGGTTGACATATTACAGATTCTTCTTTCATTTCACTCATACGTGTTTATAATTAGTGTAACTTTTTAAGCCCTGTGACTTGATTGAAGGACTTGAATATAACAAAATACGTAAAGCATGATGTAGCTTAGATCTAACTTTCATGCTTCAATCAATACTGATATCTGTGCTTTCTAATTGTTATTTGGACACATACTTTATTGCAACTAATATTAATTTATGTCTAAGCCTAGATATAGCATGAGGCAAGAAAAATAATAATTAGTTTATATGTAAGTCATACTTCAGAATTTTGTAACGCTTCACTGCATTCTTCCACTGAAAACATGTGAAAAGAGGTGTAAACATCAGCCTCTTACCTAAATATGTGTGTAATGACATCATTATGTGATGTAGTGGTAACTTAAATTATTTTATTTTTAATGTGTGATTTTTGGTCTTTAAATTTCACTCATCTTACAAAGTCCAAAAATTGTTAATTGTTTATAAGTCATCTGGTCATTGTTCTTTTCTTGTGTGATATGTATGTATTTTTAAGGTATCTAGAATACACACACAAATTAATTAATAAATCACACCAAAGTAATTTATTCAATAATATGAAAACAACAATAGATAATGTTACTGTAATCTTATAACAAAATATAAAATTCTAGAATTAATCTTGAATCATTTGTACGTGTTATGGTGAATGTTTAAAACAAAAAAGATGTAGAATTACCACAGTTAAACTTTTTCTTTTTTATTCAGGAGATCCAAATGATCGAAGCCTTAGATATGTTGAGCAAGAGATCCTTATTCCACAGAAGATGCGAGATAAAGCGAAAAAGGAAAAATGTGTTGAAGTAGTAAAAGGTTCTGTGACAACAGATTGTTCACTTTCATGAGATACATTTAGACATAAACGTGTATCTAGACACAACAGTTGTGGTGTCGTAAGAAAGCTGGTATTTTTATGTCTACTTACATCCAGCTTACTTCGTTAATTTACAAACTGACACTGTTTTTTTTTTTACGTCTCGTTCACCTAAGGTAGCTTACAGACTGACTTATTCTTCGTTTATATTAATTTCCATAAACTAATTAGAAAATATTTGAGTGTTATTCCAGTCCGTCTATGTTTAAATACAAAACCTAACTTAGTTATTTTCCTTTTCAAGGTATAACATTTACAGATTTTTCACTTTCTTTCTCCCAAGCTGTTTCTTAAACTTATAGAATTTTTAAAGAAACTTTAAAAACATTTCAGTTTAAAAATGTATAAGTGAATTATGCAATATTTTGGTGACTTTGACCATTATATTTGTATTTTGAAGTCAGTAGAAACAAATACAAATTGATTGTTTTATCGTACTTTATTTTAAAATGTAGTTAAAAATATATTAATTAGAACAGATTTTTAATAAAATTTAGTCTCGCGGTTGTTTAATTACTTAAATTTGTCTAATTAAACTGAGCTTATCAAATCTTTAGTGTATTCTAAGTTCTTGGCTTGTTTTATACTTATGTCAGCACTTCGACTATTTTTTCCTATCCTTTATTAAATAATCTGAAACGTACTATTTATGTCAAATTTTCCAGTATAAAAATCAAAACAGTCCTTTTTAAGTATTTGCATGATTTCAAAAACTGTTAAGTAAAGTAAATTACCTGATAAACAGGGTATAGTTAATAAACATATAATATTCTAAATGAAGGGAACTAATATTTCATAATTTCTTTGTATTAAGCTTCTCTTTCCAAATATTACACATTCTATAATTTACTGTTAATTTTTATATAAACTGTTTTTTGCAGCCTTTGAAGATTGCTGTAAAGAAGCAGGGTTTTCGATGGTTGTAAAATGTCAGAAGGAAAATGGGGAACTACAATCTTGTCTTGGAAAATGGTAAGTCATCTTTCTTGTATTATGTTTTCTCCAGAATATGGTAAGTCATCTTTCTTGTATTATGTTTTCTCCAGAATATGGTAAGTCATCTTTCTTGTATTATGTTTTTCTCCAGAAGATAAGTCATCTTTCTTATATTAGGTTTTTCTCCAGAATATGGTAAGTCATCTTTCTTATATTATGTTTTTCTCCAGAATATGGTAAGTCATCTTTCTTGTATTATGTTTTTCTCCAGAAGATAAGTCATCTTTCTTATATTAGGTTTTTCTCCAGAATATGGTAAGTCATCTTTCTTATATTAGGTTTTTCTCCAGAATATGGTAAGTCATCTTTCTTGTATTATGTTTTTCTCCAGAATATGGTAAGTCATCTTTCTTATATTAGGTTTTTCTCCAGAAGATGATAAGTCATCTTTCTTGTATTATGTTTTTCTCCAGAATATGGTAAGTCATCTTTCTTATATTAGGTTTTTCTCCAAAAGATCCATTCATCAAAATATACACCAGTGTGTCAACAGTAAGTCTACGGGCTTACAATGCTAAAAATTGGGTTTCAATACCTGTGGTGAGCAGAGCATACATAGCTCATTATGTAGCTTTGTATTTATTGACAACCAAGTCAATTATTTGTCACAAACATTGAAAAGTTTCGTTTAACCGGGTGTGCTTGAAAGTTGATTTTATAAAAAGTAAGTATGGTAACTACTGTTAGATCACAGTGTCCAGAAAATTAATTTGTAAACTATGTTATTATTATAATTTGCATGGCTATAATTTTATTCTTAAACAAATGTCTTCAATAATTAATTTCATATTTACAAGATGGCACTATTTCTAATTTTGAAAAATCTTTGAAATGCATTTATCTTGAAATACAACACCATATTAGCAAGGATAAGGGCCTGGCATAGACTGATGGTTAGGGCGTTTGATTGTCACTGAAAGTGCTCATTCTAAGCCGGCCACTCAGATCTAAAAGTTCTTGGTTTACAAAAATACCGACCAACCCCAGACTAGATGGGACTGAGGTTGAGATGTAAAATAAAAAAAAAATATATATATATATTTGTATTTAGCAAGAATAAACTCAAGGAAAGTTAGGCTTGTACTACTCACAACATTACTTTGTCATAGTGCACCCATTCTGATATTCTCTATATCACACCTGTTATAACTTTATTTAAAAACTTTTCATAACTCAACAAGTAATATTGGCTTTCTCAGGTTCTTTTATGGGCAGCATAACTGAGTACAAAAAAGGTAAAAATATATAAAAGCTGTAGTTTTTTTTGTAACATACAACGAGGTACAAGATATGTATATTTATTAAACCATCATTTGAATTTAATACTCATTAATCTTTAAAAACTTAACTGTATTAAAACAGCATCAGTTTTTAGGATACTGTGATTTATTCTTATCGGAAACTTGTAAATAAATATTGTGTAATAATTTCTGAACTCACTAATTTTCTTTATGTAATGGTTTTGATTTTATCTCTACAATAATAATAATAACCTGTTTCTGAGAGACTCAAGATGATAAAAAATTAATCTATTGGAGCATGTATTTAAGAAAATATTTCCAAAATAACTTGTAACAGAATGAATCATAAACTTAATATGAATCGCAAAACAGTTCATAAAATGTACTACATTAGTCACCAGGTGGTATTTTTTCAGGTATAATGACACTGAATTTAGGAAAAAGTGCACAGAGGAATATCTAGATGAACGATCGGAGTATCGAAGAACAGGGGTCAAGAAAATTTCACGAAGAAAAGAGTCGGCGACGTTTTAAGATTAGAAGTACTAGTTTTAATAAAGTATGTGCGTTTATCTCTTACACAAGTTGATTGATAAGAAATTATAACTTTTTATAAAAAAAGATTAAATAACATCTTGAAAAAAGGTGTGTACACTTGAGTCCTATGGTCTCTTAATAGCAGCGTTAAGTAGGAGGTTATACTTAGTTACTTGTATATCATGTTGTCGGTAATGTAGCAAGCACATGTGTTTTTTAATTCAGTGGCTGTAGAGTGTGACAGATGTAACTACTATACAGTTGATTAGTAAAGTAAAGAACGAACGTTTTAGGTGTGTGAAAGTGTTGTTGATAACGTCTTTTTGATTAGACTTTACTAGTTTCTAAATATTCCACAAGTTAGATTTCTTTGTCTTGGAAAGGATGGAAATGTTTTATGGTTGATGGTTTCATTAAATTGATTTGCAGAAGAGTAAGAAGCTTTCAACCCTCACATTTGTTTCAGTTAAAACTTTACACCAACATTTTATTTCATATTATACCTTGAGAACGTTAACCTTTAACATCTTGGATAAACCTCAAATTATGAAAATAGATGATACATACAAAAGCATAACATTTTAAAAATATAAAGCTTGTATGTCATGCATCGCACGTCTTTGGCATATTTACTGTTTTATGAAGTAATAAGTTCATAATTTTGGTATGATGTACTGTTCCTATGAATCTACATCACAGGGGGGATAAATATGCAAATCAACAAGTCACATGACTACAGATGATATAAAGTTACAGTAGAAAAGTAGTGTGATGACATCAAAAATCGATTGTTTTGGGGAAGGGTACGTACCAGCACTTTTTGACATCAAATAAAATGTAACACCTTATAAGCTGGACCATCAAAGAGACATCCAATAACTCATACCCCAGCTATGGTAAGTAAAGTGTAACATCTTATAATCTGGACCATCAAAGAGACATCCAATAACTCATACCCCAGCTATGGTAAGTAAAGTGTAACATCTTATAATCTGGACCATCAAAGAGACATCCAATAACTCATACCCCAGCTATGGTAAGTAAAGTGTAACATCTTATAATCTGGACCATCAAAGAGACATCCA